ATGATATCTCCTCGTTGTTTTAATTTGCATCTCTCTTAGAGCTAGGGATTTTGAACATTTCTTCATGTGTTTGTTGGCCATCTGAATGTCTTCTTTGGTGAAGTGTCTGTTCTTATCCTGTGCCCATTTTCCTATTGGATTATTCAGCTTTATCTTGTTGTGGTGCACACGGACTCTATTGTCCTAAGAGTCAAAACTCCACATAATCCCCTCAGTCCATTCCAAGCACAGCCTGAGAGCATGAATGCCAAAATGTCCACCTGTGTACACACACGTAGATCTGCACATTCACACACACAAAATGCATACACACATCTGTACACACACCTGCACACAGACTCCAGGCATCAAGATACAAATGTTCAAAAGTGGACAGAGATTTACAGACCAGGTTTCCTTTGAGACCAGCCTATGCTGGATGACCACATTCCAAGCTTTTCCATTTAAGCCTCATCTGTAAAATAGAAACCACATCCTTAACTCAAAAGAGCTGCCACGAAAGTCAAGGTCGTCTGTAGAGACCACATCACTCAACTCAAAAGAGCTGCCATGGGAAATTGAAAAAAAAAAAAGCTGCCATGAAAGTCAAGGCTGTGGCTGCGAGTAGGTTTTGAAAGCTGGTAAGAAAGCTCTTGGGCTGCCTCCACTCAATGTGCTAGAAAGGGAGGAGGGAAAGGAACCCTGCTAGGGCAGTGGATAATCGCTCTGCCGCTAACCAGAAGGTAGGCAGTTCAAACCCACCAGCCCCTCTGTAAGATAAAGCTGCAGCAGTTTTATAAAGATTATTTGTGCTACAGGACAGAGAACTGCCTCATAGGGTTTCCCAGACTGCAAATCTCCAGAGAGAGAGCTCTGGTGGCTTCGTAGTTAGGAGCTGCACTGCCAACCCAAAGGCATGTAGTTCAAATCCACCAGCTACTCTGCTGGAGAAAAGTGGGCAATCTCCCCCTAGTGGAATTGACTGCCTCTGAAAACCCACTAGAGGGTCAGCTATGAGTCAGTCACGATTGGACGGCACACAACAACAACAACAACAACACTATTTACAGGCAGCTCTGCCTGTGCAATGTAGTCTATAAGAAGTCAGCCCCCTAGTGGTTCGAATCTGAAGGAGAAAGACGGGCAATCTCCTCCCATGAGATTTATAGCCTCTGAAAACCCATTGGTAGGTCAGCTGTAAGTTCTTTCTGACTTTACCACGAATTTCGAGTTATTTGGAAGCTTAATGGAAACAGCCTGCTGCATTTCACTTCCACAGAGCGGCTTGTGGTTTTGAAGCCCCTTCACCAGCACCACTCCACTGCACCACCACGGACGGGCCTCCACAAAGATCACACGTTGGAAACCCCATGGGACAATTCCACTCTGTCCTGCAGGGTGACTATGAGTCAGAATCCACTGAGGCGGCAAGGGAGTGTTTGGACCTGGGAATCCCTTCTAGGCGCCTGTTTCAAGAGCGGAGTGCTGAGGTTGGAGAGGAGAGTCCTCCGCTCTCAGACCTGTGGCCAGGTGACTGACTCTTGCCCAGGGAAAGCAGGCGACGCCCTCTCCAGAAGCGCAGGCCCTGCAGAGCCAGCCTTAGAGAGCACCTGGATGAGCAGAGGCCTCTGAACAGGTGTAAGGGGTGGGGACCCGAGGCCCAGCCCACGGGGCCTGCGCGAAGGATCCACCAGGACCGGCGCTAAAGTGGAAATACCATTCTGCATCCTGCACTTGCTTCCAAGACAGGACCGGAGGCGAGAGGGACATCTCCGGTTCAGGGGTGCTATCCATGGCGCCCACGAAAAGCCCTGCACCTGGTTTCCCAGGCTACTCCATGCGCTGAGGGACGGCAGGTCAAGGCACATCCCAGAGGCTGTGTGGGCTCCGGGAGCGCAACCTGACCCCCTCCAGGCGCCTCTGCGCCCCAGCCTCGGCATCCCGGGCCGTTTCAGGGGGCTCCGCGAGGTGAGCGCCTGCTGTCCCGGGCACTGTCCGGCCTCCGCGGGAAGGCAGGCGGCCGGACCATACGGCCCCCAGCTTTCCCAGCCCCAGAGCCCCGCTCCTTACCCAGAACTTGGAGCCGCACAGGGCGTCCATGGGGCCGAGGCGCGGTGGCGAGGAAGGCGTGCGCGCGCGGGCGCCAGTCGGCGGGGCAGCTCCGAACTCGAGGAGCCGCCTCCGCCCTGCGCTCCGCCCCGGCCCGGCCCTCTGAACCCTACCCCCACGTCTGGAGCTGGCTGGTCCCGCAGGTTGCGACAGCCAGCATCTCCACCTAACCGTGGCGCTGGCGCGAGGGACTTTGGATGAGGGTGGGAGTGTCGCTGACACAGTAGACAACCCTTTCGCTGGGGAGACATTCCTACGCAAATAGGGCCCCCAACAGAGGCTGCGTGCAAATGGGGAAGGTGGGGGAGACACACTCCTGCTCCCGTCTCTGATTTGGTACGATTCTTCCGGGGCTCTCTGTGTCGCCAGTCTCTGAAACGCCCCCAGAAGGTCACCTATGAGGATCGGTTTTAACTCAAAGACAATGAGGTGTGTTTTTTTTTTTTTTTAAGGTTTTGTGCCTCAGTTTTCCTGTCTGTAAAATAGGGAGAGTCATAGGACCGACTTCAAAGGATCCAATGAGGAAGGCATATAAAGGAACGCAAAGTATCAGTTGATACTGTCTGGCAGAATCTCATATTAGCACCTTCATTTTTTGACACTTTCTCCCTTTACCAAAACTTTACTTCGTCCCCACCTGTAGGATCCGTGCAAGTTCACCTGTGTGGCCCTTCCCTGACACTTGTTCACACGAAGTGTTTCCTTCGCAGCTGGTGTGGGAGGGCGGGAGGCAGCAAGCTGGTCCGGGAGCCCCTCCTGTCTCTCTAAGCCTGCAGGAATGCACCAGAAGGGTGAGTCTCTCCCTATCACAGCAGGGATGTGAGTGAGCCTGGGCTGGGGCCCATGGGGCTGGTGCACAAGGCTATTCCTTCTCACCTCCCCAGTAGCTGGACCAGAGCTCCTCCCCCCAGCACTGGGCAGACACCCACACCCCCACCTCCAGCCTTCTCTGTCTGCTCCCTTCCCTTCCCTTCACTCACCTTCCTATATCTGGGCAAAAGCTTGCAGAGATTTTGCACCCTTGTTACAGTGTGCCTTGGGTTATATTTAGTTGTGAAGAGTCTGTCTTCTCTGCCAGTCTGAGGTCCCAAGGGCAGGGAATGACTGAGTCACCTCGACTCGCCCCTCCATGCCTCAGGGCAGTAACTTTTGTATGCTGTGTGACCTTGACAAGTCCCTTGATGTTACTGGGAATCAGTTTCTGAAACAACTTGGCCAAGATGCCATCTAAGGTCCTGTCCATCCTGACAGTCCAGGATTCTATGGCCTGAGCTGCCAGGAGTCCTTCTCCAGACCTTCCTGACCTCCTGGTCCTGGTCAGGGCCTCAGTGGCCATGCCCTCACTACCCTCCTGCATTTGGACTCCCTTCTCAGTCTATCTGCATTCTCTGCCTCTCCTCTTCCTCCATTCCTTCTCTAGATTTTTGAGAATTGGATCTGAGACAGTAGAGGAACCAGGTGATTGGCTCTTGGCTTGGGAGGTTTGGAGACCTCCATTTCAGAGCCCTTGGGGAGGCCAGTTTAGGTTTCCACCCCCATGCAAGAATGAGCACTTCAGCTTGACTTCTGGTTTGTGTTGGGGCTGAAGCTCCTTCTCTTTTGGCCTCCAACTTCTCGCCTGACCTCTGGAGACCCTTTCTTGAGCCTGCAGTACTGTGTGGGAGCATGTGAGAGCACTGTGGGCCCCCTGGTGATCCCTGGTGCATCCTGAGGCTTCCCCTTCTCTCAAGTTCTCCTCTGGGACCCTCATGGAATATCCCTTCCTTTCCCAGTCCTTGGATCATAGTCAAAATATCCTGAGGACATTATTGTTCTAGTGTTCCCCTTACCAGAGCAGGAAAACTGAGGCCCTTAGAGGCCTTACAACTTGCCCAGGGCCCCAGAGCGCATCCCAGCAGAGATGGGATGAAACCTGGCTGTTTCCTTGCCTGCCTTCAAGGTTACTTGAACATTTTGCTCTCCACTCCTCCTTTCTTCCTGCCCTTGGCAAGCATTTAACACTCTTCAATATTTTACTCAAATACCCACCTAACATACGCTTCCTAGAAGGCTTTCTTGAACTCCCCTCTCCCGGTCTTGGGATAGGGACCCTTCTGCCTGATATCGCCTCTCCTAGTATATAATCATTGTCTTGCTCTGCTTCCCCAGAAGACTAGGAGCACCTGGAGAACAGAGACCGAGCTTTGACCTAGTGGGGAGTTGCGCTGTCAATCCAAAGGTTTGGAATCCACCAGCAGCTCCAGGAGAGAAAGATGGGCAATCTCCTCCTCCCATGTGATTCACAGCCTCTGAAAACCCCCCTGAAAGGCCAGCTATGATTTGGTTGCAACAGTATCTGGCAAAGCTGATCCTTGGGAAATGTTTGTTGGCTGACTAAACAAGTTTTCTAAGAGGTCATGGGGGCATTGGGTACAGTCCAGTGTCCGCTGGGTTTGAGTTTTCAAAGGAGGGCTCCTGAGAGGACCTCACAGATTGGGCTGTGGCAGAATAGTGAAAAAGTTCCTTCAGCCACAGTGGCCAAGCCCCCCTCCTTTTGTATCCCCCACCCTAGGCTGGCTGCAGCTCCAGCAGAATGAACACAGCACACGGAGCATGTGCTCTGTATGCCTCCCCCGCCAGCCAGCGAGCATCCCAGGGGAATCCAGCACTAGGGATTTCCTGGCAAGGAGATGGAAAGATAAGATAATTGCAAGGTACGGCTCAGAGCAGGAGTGACAGCAGAGAAAAGAAGAAAGCAGAGCAAGGAGAGGGGGACGGGGAGACCCAGAGACAGGAAATGCTGCAAAGAGGGAGAGTTGGATTGGTACAGGCAAGACAGTGAGGGAGGATGGGGTGCAGAGCTAGGCTGCAGGTCCCTTCCCTCGCTGCCTGGTTCCCTGTAGCTCCCTTTGGCTCCTTTAAGGCCTTCAGCTTCTCCCTTCTCATACCTCCTCCAGACTCCAGCCTGGTGGGGGCACCCGGGCCCTGCTTGTGGCCCTCAGCAAGGCAGCCCAAACCCCAGGCTGCCCCTCCACTCTCAAACTGTGTTTGCATCTGATTTAGCATGCATGAGAGCTCTGGCTCTGGGAGTTTTCAAAGCAAAGAATTAATTAGCTCCTTGGGCCACAGTTAGCGGCTCCCACACCTGAACTAGGGCTAAGATACACTGAGCTCTAAAGTGCTTAGTGGAATTCTTCCTCAAGGCTCTGCTGGGTGACTGTCTCCTGGATACCCTCTGTTTTGCCCACAAAAGGGCCAGAAGATCTCAACCAAACTTAGCTTTTGAGAGTTTATGTCTCTCCAGGGGATGCTGTGTCCTGGATTCATCCTGATCACTAACCTTAGGCAGGGCAAGGAGGGCTCACTGGTCAGACAACAGAGATTCCAGTCTAGCCTACACCACATGAAGACCATTCATGGAACCCTGCCAACCCATTTGTTTCCATGTTTGGGCGTTATCTGGTGACCTGTCAATCAAGGTATCCATTAGTGCTTCCTTGGCTTGATCCTTCTGCATTGGGGGCCCTGGGGTGGCACCAGGTGAGGGTGCCTTGTGCTGCCACCTGGTGTCTAATGTCTTCACTGCACCACTGTTTCCAGCCCCACCAGAAGAAGGGAGGGCGGGGTGGTGGCTTTGGGACAGGCACCAAGCTGTGATGGGAGCAGGAGGGAGTGACAAGTATAGGAGAAGGCTGTTTGGAAAGTGGACAAGGTCTGAGTAGGGCAAGGATAAAGGACAAGAAGAAAGAAAGTGTGGGAAACAGGAAAAGATGAGGAAGAACCAGGAGCAACGGCAATGTTGTGGAAAAGAGCTTGCTCCCAGTATAAACAGGTGACCAACCTTGAGGACTTGCCCATTCCAATGGAGAATCCTTATAAAGAACCTCTTAAAAAAATGTATCTTGTGTGGGAAACGTGTAGATTATAAGAATGTACAGCTTTTGTCCCAGTTTATGTCTCCGTTTACTGGATGCATAGATGGAAGGCACATAACAGGTCTTTGTGGCAAGAAACAAAAAGAAATCACAAAAGCAATTAAGAGGGCTCAAAATTTGGGATTTGTGTCAGTTACATACAAGGATTCTGCATATCTCAAAGACCCTAAAGTTTGTAGTATCAGATATTTGGAATAAATTATGTAAGACCAATTAAAAAAAAAAGAGGGTGAAGGAGAGCAGGAGGTAGGGGTTAAAGGGCGGGACTCTATCAGAAAGGCGGATGGCCCTGGAACTGCAGAGCTGGTTTAGCCAGGTGACCTCAACAGCACCTGATGTGAGGGACACTGTCTCCAGAGGCCAAGACCCTCCCTCCTGTGCCTTGTGGCCAAAGGCTGGCTGATGGCCTCTCCAGCTTCCGAGGATAACATGATAGGCACACGTGTGAGTAAGCTTCTAACACCAATGTGATTGCTTTGGAAAAAGGCCTCTCAGAGAATAGTTTCTAGAGCAGAATTTCTCTGATTATGTCTGACTCATTCTCTCCACCATGAGGAGAGGCCAGGGTTAGTGGTAAACTGGAGACTGGCCTGACTTAAGGCTAGATCCCAACTCTGATATGTCCTTGCTGTGTGACCTTGGACAAGTCACTCAACCTCTCTGAACTCATTGCCTCATAGAAAAGATGAGGCTAACAATGGTATTTTCTCTTGCTCGGGTGTAGAGAGGAGTAAGTGAGAGACTGCATATGAGCCTCGGATTTGTTTTTAGCACCAGCTCAGTTCCCCCCACCCCCAGACAGACCTTTTCCTGGAGTCTTGGGGGTGGAGGAAGCAGAAGCAGCCAAGCCCGAGGTGGGGGCCTGCAGCCGTTGGCACAATTCCCTCTGCATTCCAAGGAGAAGGCTGAGGACACAAGTGTCAGGGGAGATGTTCTTACTTCCCCAAGTCCCAACACCCCTGGAGCCCCTGGAAGCTGTCACCCAAGACCCACTGCCTCCTCCAGCCTCCCCCAACCCTACTCTGTATCTTGCCACAGAATCAAATAGCCACACGCATCACAAGGTTAACATCATTG